CTTGGCTTGCTCTTAGAGCCTATTTTGATAGATCGGATGTCACCATACCTTGACGGGCGGTGGGGTAGCCAAGTGGTTACATCGTTCGCTTTTCACGCCGAAGACCTGGGTTCGATTCCCCACATGGTTACAAAGTGTGAAGACCGTTTCTGGTGTCCCCCGCCATGATATTACTGGAATATTGCTAAAAGCCGCGTAAAACCATACTCACTCACTCACTCACTAGACACGCTTGTTGCATGCAAGGGTAGTGCTAGTTTGACGTAACAGAGTACATTGTGAAGGAGTGTCCTATGGATACAACTCCAGCAGAGATCATGTTTACATATCTCCAAGACCATTTATTTTTTAATTTCTTGGTGTACGGTTTGTGCTTTCTATAAAGGATTTGGTGTTCGAAATATATATTTAAAAAGAGTGAGTGAGTTGGGTTTAACGCCGCACAGTATTCTAGTTATATCAGGGCGTGTCAGCTTAATGTGGGAGGAAAGCCCGAAGTGATGCAGGTCTCAGACGTTTACCACTTCGGTGAAACCCACGAGCACGGGTATGGTGCTGACAAACATAATCGGGGCGAACCGGGATTCGAACCCACAATCAAAGGTTCCTGGCGTGCCCAAGGGACGCAACTCTGCACACCGAATCGCGGCGCCTTAGACGACTGGGCCACCCGTACCCCCTATTTAAAAAGAGATTTAAAGAAGATAATTTATAAGTGCTCACTGAAGAGTAAAGTCGGGGGGGGGGGGGGGGTTAAAATGTGTACAATACATGACAAGTTTTACAACTCACTAACATAAAAAAATTATTATAAGCAACAGTAACAATTATTACTAAAAAAAAAACACTTTTATACCATTAGCTTACAGGCCTACCCCGTGACAATATTGTCTCTGGTTAGAGAAATAAATCAACACAATCGACGGGAATAAAGAATAGTTGTCCTCATAATTATAATATTCTTCCACATTTGAGAAAGCTAGAGTCGGCGGATGTGTAAACAGACTATAAACACAAACGACCAAGATACAGAAGAGAATATAAATAACGTTTTGAGAGAACCCGGAAGCCCTTTACAAGAACATGTCTGTAGTATCGATTACGGAAATAACGTTGCTCGTGTTTGACGACGTGGGTTGGGATGGAGTATTAAAAAGTTAGAGATACGATGTAGATATGTTAATTTTGATATCCATTTTCGATATTCCATTTATCCAGGATATCTGGGACATGCCGTGTGTATCGACTCCCGTGATGAGTCATTATCAATGTATAACCGAGTAGATTTTGTAGAAATTTCTACCGTAGAAAAATCTTAATGCAGTAATAATATCAATTATGTCTGACCGAATACATATATATATACATATTTATATCTATCAACAATACATTTATGTTGGTTTTATTGTTTCTACAAAAACAAGGAAATGACTTTTTTGTAAGTTTTAGAAACCGATTAAGTATCAATTTAAGTCACCTCGGACAGAAAAATATTGCAAAGAGTACTGAATGTAAGTTACACTGAAAGCATGTGACATTTAGGCTGTCCGTATTTTTTTCTGTGTTTCCTATCTCCCGTCCGCTCTGAATTTTCATTCAGACGTGAAACAATTACAAGTTTTCTCATCTCAATTTCCCCGCCGCTGTGGAAATTGATGTCCCGATACCGTAAAAAAGTACCCCTGCCATTGCACACTCATAAAAAAACATGATCAGCTTGATCTTTTTTCAACTATATTGATTAAAGATTCGTTTCCGAATCAAAACGACTAGATCCGTGTCTAAAATAATTTAAAGACTATTATCAAGTGTTTAAACTAGAAAACTTAATAAAATAAGTTACACAATTAGCGTACGCAACAGTTTTGTTGGGTTGTTGTTGTTGTTGTTGTTGTTGTTGTTGTTGTTGTTTCCCCCGCCCGCTCTCTTGCTGGTTGAGGTTGGTGATGAGAAACATAAAAAATACGGATGGCCTCATAGGCTTCATATCAACTCAGATTTTCCAAAAATAAACATCACTGGGTGTATAGTCTCCAAATTCATCGTTTCCATGACAACTCCCTATTTTAATCATATACAATTCAAGTTGATCGCTGTTACAGCAATTAATACTTCTTCATGTGCTCTTTCCGATTGGCACAAAATGACACAATTTGGACAATTCTGTCAGTTTCATTTCATCCTTTCTCAAACACTAAAGACAGTTTTTGATGTCTAAAGGGATCTCTGCAGACAAAGGTTGGTGCCATACTTCAAGGTATTCCCCAATCATCCACCTCTACAGCTCCCTAAGTTGTCCAGCGAGCCCCCCTTCCCTCCACTCACAATAGCAATTATCCTGTATGTCGTTATGCCAGAACGTGAATGGCAGTATACTCATATATTGTGTTTATATTGTTTGAAACTGACACGTGTGCAATTTGTTAGGAAGCGTGGAAGTTCGAAACTATCACGGGGGGCGAGCGATGAGACATCAGGTCACGTGCGCGTTTGCTTTAAAAAAGTGAAATGTTTGTTTTCCTTCTAAGTAGAGGAGAGGCGGGAATCTTTTATTAATATCTGCATCGCATGCAAAGCTGGAAAATAAGCCATTGATACACACACAGAGATTTAAAAAATCGCTCTTCGTTTTCTGTAAATTAAGGAAAAAACAACTTTTTGTGTATTTTTTAAAACTAAGCATTTGTAAGAAACATATTTGACTTGTTACAAATGTGATGGTATACAGTACATCTTATAATACCTTTGATGATGTTTGTAGGAATTACATAGAAATATACGTGCTTCAGACCGATATAATATAACTTCTTTACAGGATTTAATTCTCAAAATATCTCTCAGACATTTACCAGTTCATTGTTGGTTTTAAAGGGTAAGACAGTTTACTTTTAAGACTACATGTATGTGTTATATTTGTACATTAATTTTTATATATATTTATATTTTAAGTATATAAATATTTTGGTTATGTTTTAAAACGTAATTCATCTCTTTTTATAACTTGTTGTGGACAGATAAAAAAGTACAAAAACATATGGATAAAAAATATACGATACGAAAATATTTATTGATATCGAAAACTCCAAATGACAATTTTAAAAGAGTTTTTGTTTTCCGAAAATATAATTACACACAAGGAATTATTGTTATTAAAACGGTTTACAATGAACAAATAGAAGTGTCAAAACCATTTCCACGATCATAAGAAATATCTGCTAAAAACGCTGTATGTTCCGACAATATTATAAGCATGTGTTTATGAATCACTATCAAATATATAGTGATGTCACCAGGTGTTAGCGAAAAGGTGAATATGAACTGTTTTGTAATTATTTAGATGTATTGAAGCCTCACTCACTGGCACTGACTTCATTGATGACAATTGTGTGGCAGGTGCTACCGGAAGAGCAGGCCAGGATCACCATTTTCCCGATCGCGAACACCCGATGTCATCACTAAATTTCAGTAATCCATTTAAACAATTTTCATAATTATATTTCCCTTTTCGCCCAATGGAATCTGTTTCTAGCTATTTCCTGGTATTTGTGTTTAATCTTAATCTTACCGAAAGTTTAATTAAAAGTCAAAAGTAACATGTTTACTTTCAACTTGCCTTCAAAGATGTAATTGATTGAAAGTAAATTAATCTAATTTTCATAATACGAATTATAAAATAGAGAATCAAAATATTAAATGCGAACCATGTAAACGAAGATGTTGATCGAGCAAATGTAATTATCTTTTTAAAATGCTGTAGTAAAACACCAGTGAAGGTACCGGAGAAAGACAACGGACGCCAATCCACAAGCAACACAAAGAAATATCGCCAATCCGGAAGGCTAAACTTTGGTAACTATCGTTCACATTAACGGGGATCCGTTTCAGCGAGGTATTATATTATAAGGGATAAATTCATTCATTTTTTCATTATCCCCGCAGCACCAGCCAGTATATGAAATATGGTTCGAATGAAAAAAAAAGGCTTCATGCAACGACGACTAAGTTTCGAATCTTGAATACCTCACAATAATAATAGTGAGTAAGTGAGTGAGTATTTATAGTTACATTGGCAATATTTCAGCCATATCGTGACTAAAGCAATTTATACGTTAAGAAAACCACAATAATAATTATAATAATGATGATAATAATAATAATAATTATTATTATTATTTATAATAATAATAATAATAATAATAGGCATATTTTTATCTTTATCCTTATTATCGATAACGACAGTCACATTTACGGAACAATCTAATCCCATATATATTATGATATCGTCATTCATCATATCGCTGTATGTGACACAGTCAATTAATCTGTCACGGACCATGCTATTATTATCGTAATCATCCTGCTCGGAAACAGCAGATTCCTAATGACTACAAGCGCGTTATGAATTATGAATCTGGTCCGACAATTCTCATAACTTCCCACCGTGTCGTCCCGGCCGCCTTCTGTACAAAAATCATATCACATTCGGACATCAAACCAAAATTAATAATGTGTTGACAGCATAAAAGCTGGCCGTGACCCCAAGAGATCGTTAACAAACGGTTCTGCGAGATTCAGCTCTCGCCCCCCTCAAATGGACGTATAAAAAAGAAATTTGGAAAAATATAAAAACGGGAGAGAGAGATATAAAGCCATTCACCACAGGCCAATGGATGCTCTGGTTATATTTTCCTAATTTCATAAACACCATTTGACTCGTGCCATAGTCAAGCATATGGGCCGCTTTGATATCGCCAAGTCTGAACGACCGGGCGCGTGCCAATGACAAGCAATCGTTGATGTTAACCGCTTTCTGCGCCCTCTGTCGGCACGTGACGTCACTTGAACTGGCCAATCACAGGAGTTATGGCTTCTACAGTAAATGTTTAAGAAGATAATTAGCAACTCGGCAAATCTATCTTATTAAATTAATTACGCTTCTGTGTTGAATATGAAGAATGGACCGGAGGCCCTTTAGGACGAAACGACTCCGGCGGAGGACGCGAGAGGACACATTGAGCTCCTTGTCCGATAGTCTAGTTAGAATGTGACGAGCTGTGCCGGTCTTTGACGATCCTTCCTGTTCCAGGAATTTGTCCGAAGACGGTAATAAATTCTTTATAGGACCCTGCTTGAAACGTTTTTATCTCGGATCTTATTACAAGCCCTTGGAGGAAAGTATTTGATGGGGTGCCGTGAGTTTTAAGGTTTCCAACCTTTTAAGGACTCATTTTACTATAGTTTACCTGAGAAGAATTTTTTTTGAAAACTTTTTTTTCTTAAAAGTGTATCGGTACTTTAAGGTATTTTTAAACGGATTCAGCGATGGAAGGATTGACGGAATTTGTGTCCAAGTCTTTTGAGGAGTGCACAGATAACATCAAGAAGGAGACACTCAGTATACCCGTGGTGTGTGATGACAAAAACAATTTGGACTCTGAAAATATCAAGATCACCAGTTCGGGAAGTGAAGATGAGAAGAGCTGCGACGAATCTGACGACGACTTGTCCATAGGAGGGAGAGAAAAGGGTGTTCTAACAGTAAAAACAGGTAAGGAAATACAGATTACCTGAACAGTGTAATCGTTATCCGAGTTCGTTCATGGAATATTTATATATTCTTGTCAATATTGTATTGTTGTTTAATTCTACAATCTTTGAACTGAAAGATGAGATTGCATACATTCACATTTGTTTATTTTTCACTTTTAATGTGATTTTTATACAGTAACAAATATATACATAATCTGTTTTATCGTAACATGTGCTATTTAATTCAAATATTAAATATATCGTTTTATTAGAATATTTCACATTTAAATTCTATTGAAAATATACTTTATCAGACCATTTCAGCAGTTATTTGTATGAACCGATTAACCGTCATAATGATTATTATGAAATATTATAGAACATATCTCTTCTATACTACCCCCGACGGTGTGTCAGCATATAAACACTCTTGTGAGTTACTGTTATAAAATAGATAACTAAACAGCCAAACTGTCATAATGGTGTCAAGAAGAGACCATGAGAAGAGAAACGCGTGGTTGAAGATATCGAGGAAGCTGTGTTTACAATGCCGACTAATCGTTTTTTATACATAAATACTCTTCAGGAAAATTGTATAAAATAATATAAAGGGTTTATTCATTCAACTTAATTCAGGGGAAGGGTTATCGGGAAATTGTGTGTGTAGATGGCATCAATAATATTAGATATTTAGATGCAAGAAAATAACGTTTGATTTTATGAATGGTGAAACGTTGTTTTTGTGTTGTGTAAATCTGCACCTCTCCAACACTATATTCTATATAAAGATAACATGAGGTTATTCTTAAACTGCTTCAATATAGTTGAATTTTGTCTGATATTCTTTAAAGAACACACTGCAGTACACATGAACAAATAATGGCAGATACATGACACAAATAAAATACAGTTTCTTTGGTTATTATATATACTGTATTTTATTTCGTTTCATGACGGTCTTCCACAGATAGAATCTCTCTAGTACATTATTCTCATCAGTACATGCATTGTTGTACTGAATAAGATATTCTACACATACAGTCTGAAAATATGAACGAATTACGATAACCTCACCGTGGATATGATATGCTGTTCTTATGATATCAGTGAGTGCATATATTTTATTATGTTTCCATATTATTGTGTATTGTTCAAACCGCTATTATTTCGTTATTATAAAAAAATGTTTTTACTAGAGATAGAGACGGATCATCATTTTTAAAGTTCATAGATGTGCTCGATAATCAGGCAAAGCAACACATTTAAATTTTCACATTTCAATATAATATTACATTCATATTTATAGCCAATCCAAACATTTCGTTGAAGTAGAAATATATTACGTTATTCATTTGATTGTTGAACTGTTATGTATAAAGTACATTGTATTGTACATGGAATACGCCCAATTATTAAATAAGGTTCAGTGAGCAATAAATGCTAAACAATCTTCAAAATATATATAAATAATATATAAACAAAATTGATATGGGCCAATATAATTTTGGAACTAAGGATGCGTGAGGATATAAAGGGTCACATTAAATGATTGTACAGGGTTATTGCAAAGTGTGTTTTGTAGCCAGCAAACAAGGGTATCGCAATATTCATGTACAGTGTCCTATCCATACTTTTGTGATTATATCGCAGCATACTACATAATATAATATTTAAACATTTTGGTGATTATATGAATAAAATTACACAATATAGTGTACACCAACTCCCACATCAAACGTCCATCAAAAGACGATACGTGTATAACACTCGGTCATTTTTACCAAGTATCTAGTATATTAGAATGAATATCCCCTTACACATGAATAATTCTTATAGTCGCAATACAAAAATCTATTACCTTATCTAAAAAAAAAAATATTAATCAAAATAATCGCCCGGGAGTATTATTTCACCATCTCTTTAACGAATAAAACGAGATAATGATCCACGCTTGTTAATAACGGCTCACGTGGTTCATAATACACATGTTATAACAAACCGTGCGTCTGTATAATGGAAAATGTCGAAAGAAGAAATAGGACTTCACTTAGTTCTAGCAATACGTATATACAAATGGTATATTCAGAGTAATATGTATGTAAATACACGCGCTAATGACGGTCGAGTATCCATTCCAATATTTGAACGCAGGGTTTCGCTTCGACGCTGAATCCACGGGAGAAGGGCTTGAACGAGTTATCGTAATATGGCCCGGTGCTGTGTTAATTACTCGTCTCTAATGACTCCCTGGTGAGATTTCAACTAATTTTAAGCGTCGTTTGTTTGAATGTGCATCAGAATTATGGCATGAAATGTCAGAGGTATTTTTCGGTTTTTGTGTGGTATTGCTAGCTTAATATTAACGCGAAGTCATCGAGTGATAAACATTTACAACTATACATTGTTTTATGAAATGTAGTTTTGTTCGTTTACGTATGAATTACCAGGGAGTAAAACATGAGAATTTCTTGTTTGTCGTTACTGGCTTCTCTGTTACAGCCAAAGGGCATTGTGCCAGATGAAGTAATTGTTGTGGTTGGTGTTGTTTGTGCTATGAATTACAAACAATTAAATAAATTGCAACATTTGAATCAAGGTAATTGATATATAAGTAGGTTTCATTTTTTTATGTTGACAGTCTCACCCAAACTCGTGACCTTGCATGAAGGATATTTTTTAACCGACGCGCCTCCACCATGTCAGTAATAGAATATCATTTTCACAGATCTCAGACTAATATATTTGTCCCTTGAGTTCCTTGAAGCGAACGCAGAGTTGTACACTTTATTATTTCATTTTTTCGTTAAAACATTTATATTTCTTCACAGGATTTGAACACAAACATTCATCATCTGTTTTATTACTGTAACAATTTAACCTATAAACAATAGTTTTATTATACACGCATCCGAGGGATGTTTTGATAGAGCTGTTCTATATCATCCAGGAGTAATCATTTTATTATATCATCGTAATTCGTAAATATTTCCCGAACCAGTCTGTATTAATTATTTATTCTACGGCCAATGTACCGTGTTAATGAAATGAGATGTACGTTCTGTTAAACATTATCGCTACTGTGTCTCTCCTGCGTACGAGGGTATGTCTATATAGCATTATATCAGTCTGTACCTCTGCATTATATAAACACAAGTTGATAATGCAATATAATGCTAATGGAACGAGGCCTACAGACACGGGATGAAAAGGCTAATATCACGAATTGAGCGTGTAAACCACTTTAAGGGAACGAGAACAAAAATAAACTCGTTCCGTCCATGTTCTTCTCTGTCTCACATCAGAACGAGTCTCGAGATCTCGTTACAAATTACACCAACTCTCGCGACATTCCCTCTTCTGAAAAATCAAAGCGTCATTGATCTGTCGCGCGCCCTGATCGGAAGCGTTGTTCGCGCTTCATAGGATGATAAGGGCAAGCTTCAAATTAAAATGACAGCGTTAGCCATCGTTTATTACGTCGTGCCACAGACTCCTATAATAAATGCTCGCCTATTAGCTTCCAATTACTAACTGAAAGGAAATAACAGGGTAAGAAATTCGCTGTTGCCCAGGTTGACAATTTCCTTAATAAAATGATAGCTTAGAGATACCGTTAGGGCCTTGCGATAATGACATCGCTGAACAAGAGCTCGTTACTTTAATACATTAAAGGACGAAATCGGTCTAAAATTGTTCTAATCGCCCGCCAATGACTCTGCAATGAATTAGCTGCAATCAGTAATTGATTTTAGCTAATAATCTCATGTAGTAGATTTTTAGCGTCAATTTCTGACACTGATTCTCTCTCTGTAATTTCGTAAATATATTCCGGGGCAGACGAACGTGGTCGGCTTTTTATACACACCAATGGTTTTGAAGATTTGGGCCTTTGCGTTGTTGTCGGGTTCGGAAGTGGCGCACTGCTAGACGAAGAAGGAATTGGTAGATGGATTGTTGGTACCTGGATTGAAATGTGGATTGAGAATAGGTGGATGTATGCCAGATGGGTTGATGGTACCAAAATTATGGATTGATAGTAGATGGGTCAGTCATTTTGACAGATGGATTGATGGTTGATGGATTAGAAATAGAAGCATTTATGATGGATGGATTTGTGGTAGATGGGTTGGTAATGGATTTAGATTTATGACAGATGGATAGATGGTACATGGATTGAAGCATATTCACATATAATAGATACCCGTATCAAATGTATCCCCATCGAATAACCATTTCTTGTTTGTTTCTTGTTCGGCTACCATCAAACATGGGTGCATACTTTCTTTTGACGACAGTTTATGTATTAACGCTGGGTTAGCTAAACCAATTTCTGTATGGGGGAATATATTTGTATTTGGATGAATGAATGTGTGCATGGATGGAGGGATGGAAAGATGGAGGGATAAAGAGATGATAAATGAATGTCATATAATCGAACAACAGTACTGGACAACACATGGATGCCCAAACGTTGAAACCAACCCCGGCATGTCGGTGACACGAACGTGCGACCTCGCCTCTCTGCATCCCACTGGCCGGACAAGTAGATAGGCAGATAAATGGATAGAACGTATGTGAGATAGTACGATATGTCTGTACAAACTCTATTTTAGAAGGCTAAATACGTATTGATAGATATCTGTATACACGGAAAGGATCACATTCAGACAGCAAGGGGATGGGGTGGATGGACAAACATTTTACTATGTTACAGGAGCTATTTAACTACACTGTATTCATTTTAAAATTGCACTTTCCTTTCAAAGCAGTGTTAAAACATCCATAAATTAAAGATATAGCAAAATGATTTGAAACAATATTTTGGAACAATTGTGCTATCTAACTAAATGATTAATGGAATATTTGTTGAAGCTTCTACCCATGACACGTCCATGTGGGATGGGGTATGTTTCCGCTGATGATTCTTCAGTAGATCAGAACCAATTTGCATATAATGCAGGGGCGGTCGAGTAGACTAGTGGTTTAGGGTTCGCTCGTCACGCCGAAGACCAGGGTTCG